GGGGGGGGGACAAAAAATCCTGGCAACGTCGTCATTTTAACTTTTCACTAAAAGAAACACAAAGAGTTAAAAAAAAGAAAAAAAATAGAAATAAAAGTGTTGAAAAATCTCCTAAATTGACAATAACCATTAAAATTTAGATGGAAACGCCTTCACGTTGTGACCTAACATGTTCACATGACTATATGAGGATGTTTCCTATTTTAGTATTTTACTAGTAGTGAATCCTTATCTATCATGGAAAGTTTCATAAACAAATGAAGGTTAAAATTAATGGCATGTGATCATATTAAAAGAGGTATGAAATGACGTGGACCGCTAAAGAATAAAAGATAAAAAAAAAATTAAGAACCATAAGTCTAGGATCGAAACGTGGCCCTGATACCAAAATTTATGACGCCCCTAAGTGGTGGTTAATGACTAATAAATATTAAATAAGATAAAACAAGATCTAACATTCAAATAAATTCAAAATTAAGAGAATAACCGTTGCTCTTGAGCCTTTTAAAAATAAAGATAAAAGAAAATAAAAATATTTTCAAAAGAACGAAAATTTTAAAATAAAAATTTTCAATGTCGTTTGGTCACGCTGTACACTACAAGACGGGCCCACTAACGGTTTAGTGGGGTGATATCATATAATAATAATAGCATAATATAATATACAATTATTCTTTCTTAAAATTTACAAAGTTAAGAAGAAGAAGAAAAAGCCAAGGGCAGCCGGAGAGAAAAGAGAAGAAGAAAAGGAATATGTATGAAATTAAGGAGAAAAGAATGAGAGAGAGTAATAGTAGTAGTATAATAAGTAACGGACGATCAAGAAAGAAAAGTAGTCATCGTAGCGACTCAGATGGGACGCCTGGCACGCCCCTCAAGAAACGTGTTATTGCTCATCTTGCCAAGTGCAATGCATTTGCATCTTTTGCATTTGCTCATTTGCAATGCAGTTTTTGCATCTTGCCAAGTGTAATGACATATATATTGACATTCCCTTCATTTCTCTTCTATATATATATATATATATATATATGTATACATATATGAACAACAACATATATATACGTATAAATGCTTGCTCTCTGAAAAGCACTGCCTTACTCTCTCCTTCTGTTTGTAAAGAGTGAGAGTGGAGAGAGAGAGAGAAATGAATTGGCTCCGCAAGATGAGAAGAGCTTGGATCGCCGTCTTTTCCCCGTTTAGGCATCCGAAATCCTCCACAGGTAATTAGTCCGATCGATTCTAGCTTAAATTAATTGATTACGCCTAATTATTCGACAACACTATATTTGTTTGATTTAACTTTAAAGGCAAGTTTATAAGAACACAATAAAATTACCGCTAGGCTAAATCTGCAATGTTTATACTATATAACGCCTCTTTTTCTTTTGTTTTGTTTTTTTTAATGTTTTTGTAATTGTCTATGTTTGAGCTAAAAAATTGACATATGTAGAAAATTTGGTTAAAAAAAAAATATTTACTAGACGATACATTATTGCAGGTAGAAGTAGTAGTTGTAGTAGTGAGAGCAGTGGGCTGGTGAAGCTGCAAGACGATGTGGAGATGTGCGGGTACGAGGATGTACGGACAATGTGGGACATTCTGAGAAAGACCCAGATCCGTTCCCAAACGACGTCGGATTGTGTTAATAGTCACCGCCCAAAACGGCAGCCGATGATTGCCGACGGAAACAGCAACACAAACCTATGCCAACCGGCCGCTGCTTGCGCCTTCACCCTCTTCAATTTTGGACACACCATTGACCCAGTAGTACTCCCTCCCTCTCTTATCCTTCATTAATGTTTAAACTTGTATTAGGGCATAAAAAGTATCCTACTAGTATTGCGTTACTTTGAAGTTTGAACCGTCGTATCTTTATCTAGCTCTACAAAGACGTACGTTTTACATACTTTTTCATATTAATATATATGATTTTGATGCGATTTCACGTCAGAAAATGTATTTTCTTTTTGAGAATAAATTTTCTTTTAAAAGAAATGTCCTTTGTTTTTTTTATTGCTTAGTTTTATGTCGTTTTTTTTCCTAAGTAGGTTTTCCTAGCTGGTGTAGTCTATTACTTATTTTGTGTAGTACTTTACCAATTTTAGTGAAAATGGTACTTGAGAGATGAGAAGGGTGGTTTTTTTTTTTTTTTTTTGTAAGGCAATTGGTTTGAATTTTTAGATCTGAAGTTATGATCTGTTCTTCAATTAGAGACATTCGCACATGACTTTTTTTTCTTTATTATTATTATTATTTTTTTTGTGGTTCGGTGGAAACAGTGAACGTTTTACACTTTTTGTTTTTTTCCTTCTGAATGAAATTATTCAGCAAACAAAAGCAGTTGTTAGTGATCGCTATGAAATTCAGTCGTTTCTGTGGTTGTAAACATAGTGTAACATGGTGCAACGATAATTCTGTATGAATCCATATATATCGTGTAGAGTTCGAATCTCCTTACCCTTATTTTTTGTTTTTAAGCTGTTTTTGGTTGAACCTTCCTCTCTCATTATATTCAAGAATCAAATCCACAAGCTCATTATGTTATAATTACATTAACCTTTTTTTTTTTTTTTTAAAAAAATGTTACTAGGGGGCATTTGTTTTGTAGTAATCTAAAACACAAGAATTCAATTTATAGTCGGATGAAGTTATATGGTTCCGAAACTATTCTTAATTTAATTGGCATTAGTTGTTAATTTTGGAGTTGTAGGAAGTTTAGGGATCTTGTCTTAATGTGAGAAAGATCAAAAGTTATCTTGGAATTTATTCTGGCAATTAAGAAGTCTAAAAGTTTGTATTTTTTTTGGGAGTTTGTTAGTTAGTAATACTTTTATTTCTTTTTCATAGTCATTTTGGGGATTTGGAAGTTTAAAAGTTTTTGTTTCTTTATGTTGTATCATAAATAGCATTGTGAGATGTTATTTTTGACATTCTTAGAGACGTCAAATATAACTTTGATGCCTTATGTTTCGAGCCACGCGAACAGCCCTCCGATGATTAATGCCGGCCTCAATTTGTATAAAAACCTAAGAAAACATAAGAACAAGTTTCTACATTTTTTGTTAGGCTACGTACAAGAAAAATAATTGTTGTTGGCCTCAATCTGTAAATAATTAAACATAAGAAAGCAAATTAATTTAAGAGGCTCAACTCCCTCGGATGATATATATGTTTGAATGAATAAATAATTAATGATCTTAAAATTAAGCAAGTTGAAATGCCACATAGCAGCTACCATAAACTAACTGATTATCTATGCTCGATCTATAAAAAACTCTCGCCATAAAAGAAACCACATATGTAATATAACAATATTCCCTCAGTTCCTCATCTGGCCTTGCAAATGATCATGCATGTTCCAGTTTTGTGGTTTTGGGTAATGAGGAGGAATCACTTTGAAGGGGAGAAGGGAATGGCTCGGAAATGGAATCGCGAGAAGGGTGGTTATCGACATCGACGGCCCTTTTACGCCGCCTCCTGTCCAAGAATGCCGGTCTCATGATTGGTGTTCCTACAATGTCCACTTTGTTTGTCAACATGGCCACAATTTGTGACATGGGGGGTCTAAGATCTGGTTGAGGTTGGAGACACAAGAAGGCAACATGTATTGCTTGCACCGCATCCTTCTCCAAAAATCCATCTTCTCTCATTCTTGGATCTATGAGATCAAGAACCTTAGACTTCTCGTAGAGCAGCCACGCCTGCAATAAAAAGTCAATTAACAACGATGAATATAACGAGAATTCTTAATTTAGGATAAAACAAATACTATCATCGTTGTGATCCTCATCAAGTTTCATTATAATGACAGCATTTTGATTCTTATATGACGTGATTATGTGATATTATGTGTCTCGAAATACGCAATATCGATAGGGATACTTAGAAAGGATTTAGGATAATACTTGTAATAACATAATAAAAAGTTGTTCTAATAACTGCCTTACATATTCTGGAAGGTATTGCATCTCTGATGGCAAATTCAGATCTGTGTTTTTCCTGCAACTAATAATTTCAAGCACTAGAACTCCAAAACTATATAAGTCTGCCTTTTCTGACAATTCTCCTCGGATAGCGTATTCAGGTGCTGAATAACCCCTGAAGAAGTAGAGAAGAAAATTATGTGATTCGTAACCTCATAACTCATATACAATGAATTTGTGACAAAAAAAAAAAAATGATGGAAACATACTCTAGTTAAACAAAGTTTATTTTACCATATAGCTTGTTTCATTTAGTCAAGTCTATTCTGTAGTCATGAATTTTTCCAAATTAGAACATATTCAATACCATTATCCATGAATATTGTTATTCAAATTTCGAAAAATAAAGTGTCAGCCAAAATGATAGAAGCAATCATGCAATGTAGCAGTTGATATTAGTATGTTAAATAGTAGTGTCGTGTTTGGCTCACCCTATTTGTTTGAGTCGAATTGTGCCAAACTTAGACCATGAATGCAATTAATTATCTTTGTCATACCATGCGGTGCCCACAAGCCCTAAACATTAGACCGACGTTCTTTCATTCCAGAATCTTATCATACATGTAATGCCAAACAGACCCAATACATTGCTAAACTTTAACTTTAGTTTTTACAATTTTTTTTTTTTTTTTTCACAGAAAATTATATATCCTAATGCAAGAGATATATGTACTTGATGGTGTGAAACATGTGCTTACAAGGTTCCGGCAAATGCTGTGCTAAGATAAGCTTCATCTTCGGGGAAGAACCTAGCAAGGCCAAAATCTCCAATCCTTGGCTGAAATTTGTCATCAAGAAGAATGTTGCTTGCTTTAATATCTCTATGAATGATCCTTAGAGGACAGTCCTCGTGTAAGTACTGCAGCCCTCTAGCAACACCTATAATGATTTGATACCTAGTGCTCCAGTTCATGAAGTTACCACCACTTTTTCCTGTACGTGAGGCATGCATGAAAACTTAAAATTAATCTGAAGTAATTTACCCAAATATATAGTCCTACCGGTAGTGCCAGTTTATGACTGTTGGATATAGCTAAAATTGCATCAGATTGAAAAAATATACAGAACAGACAGTTTCTAATATGAATCTAACGGTTAAAAATAAAGAACTACTAGTAGTTCATTTTTTCTAGTCCTATCAAAAGAGCTCCTAATATAGAGTAATTACAAAATAAAAAGATGATAAAATTAATTAAAGAAGAAAGATTAATTAATTGAAAAAGTAGTAATTAATGAATACCATAAATTATGAGGTCCAAACTCCTGTTAGTCATGTATTCATAGACAAGTAAGCGTTGGGGCCCAGCTGAGCAACATCCGAGAAGGCGAACCAAGTTCTTGTGTTGAATGCTTGTAAACATTCTCACCTCTGCAAGGAATTCGGATTCTCCTTGTTGGGATTTGTTCAGAGACAATTTCTTAACGGCAATCAATCTCCCATCATCTAGTTTTCCCTATGATCAAAAAGAGTACACTACCCACTTGATTACTTTACTTGTTATGCACGGGTACGATACATATTCCGATCGACTAGTGATGTCGAATATCCTTTTCGTACGTGAGATTAAGGTTTTATTAGTGTGTAATGTTGAACACCACTGCACCATAATATTGTTTATATATTCGATGATCAAATTGAAAGAATTAAACAAAAAGGGCAATACGCGTACCTGAAAAACAGGCCCAAATCCACCTCTTCCAAGGAGATTACCGGGATGAAAGTTCTTGGTTGCTTTCTTCAGTGTCTGAAAGTCAAATGAGCTTATTGTTCGGAGGTTCCCACTAAACAGATCTGTACGTGGATGCCACACATGCAAAAAGGAAAAAAAAAAGCTAGAAATCATGCATTATAATTAATAAAGTCATGTATTTAGGTTTTCTAAATATATTTTTCATACACGTCATAATAAGCACTGCTATTAATCTCAACATATAATAAAAAGATAAAAAAAAGAGGGAATTAGATCCCACTATTTTGTTATATGACAGTTTTTATACGCTGTTATATTTACGTGGTAATTACACCACTAATCGTGTTAAATAGCTAGCTATTTTTCATAAGAAAATAACAATATATATATATTTATATAATCACAACCTGGACGCCTTCTACCTCGTTTGACCAACTTCTTGAGGTCTGATGGTTTGATAATTTTCCAAAAGACTAATATAAGAATTAGCATTACTATAAACATGGTTATTCCTCCGAGGAAGAAGAAGAAGACTGCCTGAGATGCAGGGCTCATTATGGATGAGATCACTGCATACAACAAAATGTGGATATATAATAATTTTTCATGAGTATATATAACATAATTGGAACTCGGAACAAGTTAAAGATACATAAAAACTATGAACAGATAAATGATATATTGGGGAAAAAAAATACACTGAAATTCCAAGATATATTCTGCTTGTAATTATTAGAATGGAAAGAGATTGTATATATAACAGAAAACAAAAATAACAAGCTTCACATAAAAACATAACAAAATTATATGTGTGTGTGTGTACTCACCACTTCAGAGAATTCTAGTTAATTCTTGATTTTTAGCAGCCAGTATTCACATGGATACTTCAAATAATCATGTCCGATAATTTCTCACATAAATCAAGATCATAATGATCAGTTGGCTTTTTTTTTATTTCTTGGTTTATACAACACAAGAAAAAGTCCTTCCATCGTGCACCAATCAACATAGAATTAGCCAACAGAATATGCTATCGGCAGGCGAAAGAATAAGTAGTAATTGAGAGATTTACAAGATCAACAAACCATTTTGTTTTGTTTAATATCATTAGTTATTTATTATTATTTGGTGTTGGAAAACATGAAGATTCCGAGAGAGAGAGAGAGAGAGAGAGAAGTAGAGAGGAAGGCCTTGGAAGAGTAAGACATAGGAATAATCGATTTTTCGGAGACGACAATATTTCAAGGGATCGAATATTTGTTATAAATTGGGAACAATAGGGACAAAATGAAACTTCCAAAGGGCTTTGCATAAAAAAAAATACATGTATATATATATATATATATATATAAGGATATACTTCTATTTCCTAGCTACATTCACTCTCTCTTAGAATATAGGATCTTAATCTATTATCTCTAGTAAAAATCTGACATTTAACGACCGTTAATAACCGTCGTTAAAAGATTAGACGACGGTTAAGAGAACTATCGTCTAATCGTGAGTCATTAAATATCTATAGCATATAACAACGGTTTTTATCTATCGTTAAAAATGACATTAGACGACAGTTTGTTTTAGTAATTAACTGTTGTTAAACTTAGTAAAAAATATAGTTGGCACATATTTTAGACGATAGTTTTTTTATAAAACCGTCATCTAATGTTAAGATTTAATGTCGGTTTTATGAAAAAATCGTCGTTATATTTTCTTCCAAAAATAAAAATTCGTGGTTTTCTTTTGTCCCACGGATTAGTCTATTAATCATGTGTGTTATTAGCTTTCTAGCCACAATTTAAAGATCTAATATAACTGCAAAAAAAAAAAAAAATTAAAGTTCTAAATAAAAATGAATTATAAATGTTAAATAATACATCAATAAATGTAGTTTGCGATTAATATTACAACAACATACTAATTAAATGTTCATATAAATTGCAACAACGTATATTTTATCAATTTTTTCTCTTTCCATTATTATCAACACATGTCCATTCAGCATCTAAACAAACTAGGTTTGAATCATCATCATAAAAAATAACAACTTCATCAACGGATGCTAAGTCTCTACTCATTGTTGGAATGTCGTTGCAATCATCATCATCCCCTTTTCCGTCACGAATAGCTCTTGGCTTCATGAGAACAACTAAGGACAACTCCAAATCTTTGGAATCTATTGTATAGAAAACTCGTTTTGCTTGCGTTACCAAAATGAAAGGATCTTTCTTGTAGCCCAATCTTTGAAAGTCAATCACCATAGCTCCATCACTATCAACCTTTACATAATTATTATCAGTCCACTTACACATAAAAAGTGCCACTCACAATCCTCAATAGTCAAGTTCCCACATGTCCTCTACAAAACTATAGTAGGTCATTGTTCCATATACGAGATTCTTCTCTTTTGTGGACGAAATATGCATAGAATCAATACGAAGACTAACATCACTATTTTAGACCAGGTGCTTCTCATCTCTCTCCCGAGTGTAGAAGGTATATTCATTAATTAAGTACGATGTGTATTCCATTAGCATCAATGATGGTCCTCCGGCTAGCTTAAAAAAGTTTTTTGACACACTTTCATTTTCTGACTCGCAAACCTTAGAGTAAATGTGTGTCCGTATCTACTCTCTAAATGTCCGGTTATGTTCTTTCTTGATCAATAACAACTGCAGCATTGTCATCATATCGTATTATCATACCATTGTCGCGTTTGAGTTCTTTACAAGTACGTACAATTACGGCTCTGATCACTTCTGATCTTTCTAGCGGTGTATTTGGTATTGCTTCCTTGATTACAGCAACAACAACATCACCAATCTTAGCATATCGTCGATTACTAGCTCCTATGATTCGAATACACATCAATTTTCTGGCTCCGCTATTATCCGCTACATTCAAATAGGTTTGAGGTTGAATCATATCGTTTTTTATCTGTTTTTTCAATGCAAAGGCAAAGGGCTAAGTAAAAAAATATATATATATTGTTTATCCAAAACAAAAAACTTACGACCACTCATTTCGCCCTCTTTTTGAGTTTGCTGCCTTTATTTATTTATTTTTTGTGGACCTCTATATATCGTTCCACCTGATGAGCATCATGCAGAATGTAGAGACAAGTTTGTTCTCATACTCCACAAGGAACCAAGGAAGGTATACCGGTGGATTTATCTTTTAATTCCATGCTTACCTTCTTTAATAAACCTATTAGTTCTACGTTAGACAAGTACTCTGAACAAAATTTCAGGCTTCTCCAGCCTTTTTAGTAACTCAGATTTCAAGAAAATGTCAAGAAAAATCGACTGGCAAGGGGGCCGCGTTGACTACAAGAATCGACTAATCAAGAGATCGACTTAGTGGCTCTAGCTATTGATTGTTGGCACCCACTTGGGAGTCACTCTGCAACGTGTTAATAATCAACCCACTATTTCACGGTCGACGACACATGGCTCTTTTACACATGCATCGCAGGGCCCACTTTGAGAAGATAATGTGCCCACTGTTTCACGGCCATACACTCTATGAATAGACAAGACCCCCTCTAGAGATGGAGTTGCGAATTTTTCATTACTAAACACTTATTGTACAGAGAACTCTATGATCTTGTACTCATTTTCCTCCCATATAAAACCCCGACTCCGACAGTAAGCATAGCTCTTTCACGAGTAAACCACTTTAATTTGTGGTTTGCATGTTTACTTTTATGTACTTTTGCTCTTTTCAATTATTGTACTTTCATTGCGAGTTCTCGTTAATTAATAAAGACGCTAACGGATTCCAATTAGTATTAAAACTTTGAATTGACCGCTCGTGACCGTTCGAAAAAATTGAACTTGTGTCCGTTGTTTGAGCTCGTTTGCTTGAGAAATTTAGACAACCTGCTCGAACCCAAATTTACCCTTGAACGGGCTTCGAGCAGCTCTTAGCTGCCTGAAGCCCAGTCGGCCAGCTCGAGCCCGCCCGGGCTCCCTGAATTTTTGTTTATATTTTTTAATATTATATATATATAATATAATATTGTTTATTAATTGTATTTGTATATAAATAATTATTAAGTTATTTATTATAAAAATTACATAAAAATTATAATTAAGATTAAAATCAATACACACTATTAACACAAATCAATTCAAAAAATTAGAATTGTTTATTAATTTTTAAATTTGTGATTCATGATTGTCTCGTTGAAAACCTTACAAAAAAAATCCAATTGGGATAAAAACTTAGTAAAGAAAAAAGAGTGCAATCATTTTGTGATGAATTACAAATTTTGCAAAATTACAAAATCTAAATATTACAATTACAATGTCAAAAGCAAATAAATATTTAGAAATTACAATTTAATTTGAAGCTGAAGGATCGTCTTCAAAGTGAAATATTAATATATTAAATTCATCTATCCATTCCTGACTTGCCGGCGAAATTGTATCTTGTAAACGTTGATCGGCACGATCCCAATCCTTAATGCACTCCAAAGCTTCAACAATATCCCTTTGGAATGCGTTTCGGCGTTTCTCAAGTATTCGTCCGGTCGTACTGAAGGCTTGTTCGGATGAAACAGTAGAGACTAGGATTGAAAAAATATCCATTGCCAATCAAGTTAGGACTGACTAAGTTAATGCTCGTGCCCTCCACTATTGAACTAAATCAAACAATTCTCCAATATCGTCGACTACTAAGCTCTCGCTGAAGTACGTCAGAAACTCATTGAAGCCGCCGCCGCCGCCACCACCTCTTGATGAAGATCCATTCCTAGCTTCTGTTTGAGTTTTCTTCTTCTTCTTCAATACGCAAACATTCATAAATGAATGCGGGTTTTCATCTCTTTGTTGCGGTTCTTGTACTCCAGAAGCAGTGTTTCGAAACCTATTCTCATAAACACTATAGAGAGAAAATATGTTTTCCTTTATTTTAGGAAATTGGTCAGAACAATCGATGTCTAAAAATTCACCGAAGTTTTCTAAATCACTTTCTAAACCTTCTAATTTTAATTTAGGATAAAAAATGTACCGAAACGATACAACATTGGCAATTTAGACCAATATTTTTTAAATTTCTTTTCCATAGAAGCGATAAGAACTCCTAAAATTGGGTCCTTCCTAAATTCACTAAATAAAATACTAATTCTTAAAAGTTCACCTAAAGCTAAAGGCGATGTTGGGTAATAAGTTTCATTAAGTTTTAAAGTAACTTCATGAAACCTACTTAAAAATTGATACAAAGTTTCGACAATTTACCAATCATATGCGTCTATATGTCATGTTCCTAATTTTACACTGATATAGTTTGTTATAACATTTTTATAGGGGATGCATTGTTGAAGCATTATAGAAGTTGAGTTCTATCTTGCATGCATATCTAGGGCTAATGCTATAGGAGTTAGATTTAGTGCTTGTAAGAACCTAAACCAATCTTGTTGTCTTGGGTTACTACCTTGAATCCATGCAATACTATCTCTAATTGCTTTTATATGAATAGCCATTGAGTTTAAACCATATTTTACTGTTAAATTAATTACATGGCATGCACAACGTTGGTGAAAAATAGTACATTCACTGAATAAACCTAAACAATTTTCAAAATATTCAATTGCTTTATTATTTGTACTAGCATTATTTAATGTTATAGCCACTACTTTATCCCTTAATCTATATTCATCAATTACATTTAAAGTTATATTATATATTAAATCGGCGCTATGTGATCCTAGAACACATTTAAAACCTAATATTCTCTTATCTAAATCGAAACCTTTAAAGTAATGTCTGGTTACATATAAATAATCTTTTTTGGTAACGACAGACTAAATGTCTGCCGTTAACACAACACAATCGCTAGTAGAGTACAAAAGGTTGGTTAATGCTTCTTTTTATTGTTTAAATAATTTTAACAAATCTTTCCAAAGAGTAGTTTTTAGAAAAAACTGGTCATTAGGATTGTATACAATTTTAATATAACTATGCCAATTAGGATACTTGACAAAACTAAGTGGTTGATCTAATGCAGCTATCATTCACACAACTTATATACGATATAATTGCGGATCGTATTTCCATACAGATCGTATTTCTAATTGATCAGACCACCGGTTGCGCGATCTAATGATAATTGTATTTGGCGGAGTTCGGCTCCGCCGGTTTGGCCACGCTTTTGAAGACACTTTTCGGAGTGTCTTCTCAAGTGTGTTGTGCCATAAATAGTGTCACCTTTTAAATGAGAATGACAATATTTACATTGAGCTATGTGTTTAATGTTACTGTCATTGTCGGCCTCCTCTAGGATGTCAAAGTGCTCCCAAACTGAGGAGGTGTGCTTGCATTTCCTCTTAGATGTTGCAACACTTATAGTAGCACTTGCCTCTCCACGCCCACCATTGCGACCACGACCTCCACTAAATCCACCACAACCGGGATTTGGAATTGGATAATGTTCCTCAGGTACTTATGTTTGTGATTCCTGCGTAGTATAAATATTAGTATGAATTGAACTTTGGGAATCAACGGGATTATCACCATAACCAAAGGAATCCATTATAAAAGTGAAATTAAAATTAATTAATAAAAAAAACACAAAAAATAAATAATGAGCTTTAGAGAGCTTGAAGTTTAAAAGAGCTTTGAGAATTTAAATGAGAGCATTTTGAGAGAGAGCTTTATGATTTTGAGTGAGTTTGTGGAAAAAGTGTGAGAAAGATTTGAGACAAAAGTGAAATAGATTAAGAGAGATTGAGAGAGAATATGAGAAATTTTGTGAAGAAAGTATTTGGGGAAAGGAGGGTATTTATAGGGAAATTTTTGGGTTAAAAAAATCAATTTTTTGAGTGCAAAATTGAGTCCAACGGCTAGTTTTTGAAATTCAGGTCGGGCTGGGCTTTCGGACAACTACTAGAAATATAGCCGTTATTCTCGGACTTTTCGGGTGGCGGGTCGGGTCGGGCGTAACGGTAAAAAAAAGGAGTTGTTGGACGGGCTCTTGGTCGGGCTTTCGGGCGGACTTATTTGCGGGCTTTGGGCCTTGTGGTTCGAACAATCGGCGGGCTTCGTCAAATTCACTTTTTTTGCGCTGTCTGAGCCCGAGCCCGAAATTCCCTGCTGGACGAGCGGACAATGGTGCCTGTCCGCCAAGCCCGAAAAAATTCAGGCTTTAGGCAGGCCTGCCGCCCAAAGTTCCAGCAGTAATTCCAACAATGGTTATAGACCATTAGTTCAAACACGCTTAATCTAATTCACACTTTTATTTGACTGTAAAAAAGCAAGACTACAATGTTAAGCTCCTAGGCCAATTATGTTAACAGTTTACATTGAGGTAAAAACGTCATTCTTTTAATGGGATTACTCTCAAATGTTAATTTTGATATTAAATCCATGTCAAACTTACACCAAACTTAACATATGCTAAATTTTGATATTGGTTTATTGGTTATTGACTTCTTAGCTAATAATTACAACATTATTATGGGAGAAAGAGGGAAATAGGCCAAGACTTGAGATAAATTAAAATTAATAGGCCAATAGTTTACATAAATTAATAAATAGACTAAATTACTGTTTTTGTCCATAACTTGTCTGGTTATGAACCATAACTTGACAAGTTATTATCCGTAATTCACGGTTTTTGTCCATAACTTGTATGGTTATGAACCATAACTTGACAAGTTTGTCCATAACTTATCTGGTTATGAACCATAACTTGACAAGTTATGGCATATTAATTTCTATAACTAAAAATTGGCCTATATACTTTCTTAAGCTTTTCATATTGGCCTATTTTCTACTATTTCCGCATTATTATTTTGTACATTTTCTGTAAAATTAAAAAGTTTTTTTTATCTTAAATTATGATCAAGGACGGAGCCAAAGCAGCTCTAGTGAGGGCTTAAACCCCCACTCAAAAAAAATTGTTTGTTCTACATTTTTTTTTTAGTTTAATGTGATTTTAATCAAAATTTAGTAATCAGAAACTAGGGTTGACAATCTGAGTAGCGACACGATAATACGGCTCGAAACCTGCACGGAGTTAGCGTGTTTGAGTTTATCATAAATGGGTTTGAGTCAAAATCAGGTGAAACCCATACAACATGATTAAATACCGTGTCGTTTTTAAGTCGACTCGTCAACCCGCAATTGACCTGCTGTAACCTGTTTATTAAACGCATTATATTTGGGTAACACGAATACACAACACAATTATCCGTTTACCTATGTTTGCTGGTCAGTTTGAGAAACGGGGTGAGAAATAGGTTGACAAGACCTTATTAGCACTCATTTTATAAACGAATTAATAAACAAGTTATTAGAAACAGGTTGACATAACACTATCATGACTTGTCTAATAAATGAGTTAGTCGTGTTGAGTCGTGTTAACTCGTAAATATACAAATCGTATTTATATTTTATATTTTGACATGAATAATAAATGAGTCATGTTTATATCAAATTTTATTGTGTCAACTGAAAAAATTAACACGATACGAACATGACAGCTCGGATTATCAGCCCTATTAGAAACTGATGCCTACTCATAAGGAGACTCAGACGGAGAAACTCTCATTTTTTTTTTAATTTTTTTTTGAAAATGAAAGAAACTCCTCATTAGTTGTTATAATATAAATTATGTGATAGTAGTTATAAACATACTCTAGACGCGAACCAATATAATAGATGTCGGCACGCGGGAGCGAATTCAATTAGGGCTGTTCATAAACCCGAACAACCTGCAAACCCAACCCAAGCCGAAAAAAGCAACTTGCAGCATTATTTTTAAATTTTCGGCCCATTATACCTCTGGCCCGAAGTGTTTGGGGCGGATTGCGGGTTGGGCCCATAACAACCCGCAATCCCCAACCCAACCCGCATAACATCCCCCCAAGCTTTCGGCCCAAGCCGAACTGCCCAAGTTCTACCTTAGGCTCGCTAACATTAGGGTTCACAATCTCATTCTCGGTCTCCCCTCCCGTGAACCCCCTCTTCTTGCCTCTTCCTTTTCAGTTTTCCCTCTTATTCCTCTCCCGTTAACCCCCTCATAACTCTCTCTTCATTGCTCAGTCCTCTCGGCTGCCGTCTTGCCCACTTTCTCCGGTGCTCTCTCGCCGGACTGATAAGGATGGTTACTATTTCTATTTAATGATGAAGTTTGAATATTATATTGAACTTTAAGTCTTTGATTTTTTGAATGTTGAAACCGACCACCCAACCCATCCTGCACCGCCCCAACCTAATCCGAACATCGTTGGGTTGTGAAATTTTTTTAACATCGTTGGGGTCAAATATATGCAACCCGCACCCTTTGGGACGAAAAAAAAAGGTCCTATCCCGCACCAATCTAACCCATGAACAACCCTAAATCCAATTGCATGACAAAGATTCATTTACAAAATCGAGAAACAAACAAGAAAAAAAGGAAAAAGAAAAAAAAAAAGAAAAGAAAAAGAAAACTATACATTAGATGGAACAACATTAACATCGTCATCACAAACTCAAACTCACTTTCCAAATCAAATGGCAGCAACAAAAACAAAAACAACCTTAACAACACAAACAACGTCTCCTTCTCCACACAACAAATATCGTTACACTTTTATCACTCTTCTCTTCCTCTTCTTCTTCCTCTTCAGCATCTTCCTATTCAGTAAAAGTTCTCTCGAACCCCCAATCTCTCTCTACAGAGATTTCTTCCCCCAAACCCAAACTGAAATTTCTTCTTCTTTTTCTTCTCAAGAACCACCGATCCAAGAACCCATTTCTCCAATTAGTCCCAAAATCATCAATGAGGAAGTTTCAGACAAAAATGAGAAAGACCCATCTCCTGAAAATGGAGTTTCAACACCCAAAATCATCAATGAGGAAGTTTCAGACAAAAATGAGAAAGACCCATCTCCTGAAAATGGAGTTTCAACACCCAAAATCATCAGTGAGGAAGTTTTAGACAAAAATGAGGAATACCCACCTCCTAAAAATGGAGTTTCTGTTGAAAATGAGAGTGATTTGTGGGTGGAGAGAGTAAAAGAGTGTGATTTGTATAGTGGGACTTGGGTGAAAGATGAGGAAAATCAACATCCAATTTATAAACCAGGTTCTTGTCCTTATGTGGACGAGGCTTTTGATTGCCAAACCAATGGAAGGTCTGACCATGACTATCTCAAATGGAGGTGGAAGCCTCATACTTGTGAGCTTCCCAGGTATTTATGTTTTTGGCTTATTTGCATTATTGGTCCTTAATTTTATGCTCGTATTGCACTTTGGTCCTTATGCTTTTTTTTGTCTCATTTAAGTTCTTAACAAAAAGACCATATAATTTGCTTGAGTTGAACGAGAATTAGTATTTACTGGTGTGGATTTTCAGTTTCTTAGTTTGGAAATTAGTGTCACTGTCACCAAGTAGTGTAGTAGTAGCAAAAGTGAACAACCGGCTAACTTGGTCCTTAATTTTATCCTTGTATCGCATTTGGGTCCATCTGTGTACTTTTTTTTTTTTTGGGGGGTCTCATTTAAGTTCTCAACAAAAAGGACATATGATTTGCCAAGTTGTAAGAGAATTAGTATTGAGTGGTGTGGATTTTGAGTTTCTTAGTTTGGAAATTAGTGTCATTGTCGCCAAGTAGTGTACTAGTAGTAGCAAAAGTGAACAACCAGCTAATTTGAATGTTTAGAGAAACTTAAGATATACACCAAGGAGGAGACCTAAATGTACTCCCGAATGATGCAATTGCAAGATCTCAGCCTTTGGTTGTTGGGGGGGCTCGGGGGATCCCACAGCAGGGCCTATGTGAACTAACGGTCGAGATCATGCACTTGTGTGTGTTAGTGTATTTCCCTTCACAACACTTACCTACCATGATATGAAAACACTAATAACGTGACTTCTAAATGATTTTATGCCTCAATGAATTTAGGATATAAGGGGCCATTGACAATGGCATGATGAAAGGTTTGTATCCCTTAAATTTCCAAATAAGCTTCAAAATAGCCTGGTTAAGAGAAGAGAATCCAAAAGCTTCCCCCAAAAACATGTATAGTATTTTCTGACCAAGCCAATCCATTATTAGATGATGATCAAATCTTATTCTTAGCAGAGAAAGACTAGATATCATCAAAACTGAAGCTTGATTCCAAATTTTTGGTCTTCTCTGTTTGGAATTTCAAATTGACTCCTTATATTAACAGAAACAAAACCTTAAAAAATAATGACGAAAATTGAAAAAGAAATAAATAAACATAAAGGCTTTTATGAAGGTTTTGATGGGGAAGGAGTAAGGAGTAAGGAAATAAGGATTTTGTGGGGCACCACGGATAAGTCCTTGGGGCTTCTTCAATGCCGCTTGTTTCCTAACTCTTATGAGTTTTATGGTTATACTTATTGACATGGAGAGGGGTTTTCACTTTTCAGTGGTGGGAATTAGGCTAGATCATTCGAGTCAACGTGGCGACTCACCTTCCAATCTTATGAGCCTTGAATCAGGGTTCTTGTCTCAACATTGTACCCTGTAATAAGAAACTAATGAAAGTAATATGAAAACTGTACATAGCATAGGAAAACCAAAAAAGCATTATGGTTCGTGACCAATAGTCGCCGCAGCTCATTTCAAATGAATCTAGAAGTTGCAAAAGTTCAGTCTTTCTTTATATACAGTTACTTTGATAGGCATATGCACAAACAAACAGGTAGAGCTATACTAATGAAGAAATATGAGTAAATTCAAAAAAGATATTCATGTAAGGGGATTCTTTGTACCACTTCCTTTGCTCGATGTGCCTTGATATGCCCCTTGTAAATATGTCTTATTATTTGTGTTAATCTCAAGAACGTTTTTAAGGTGATTTAAGGGGAAGATATTTAAGCAATCCCAGGGCACAAGAACCGAATTAGAGTTTGAGATTAGATGCATAAAACTTTTCCCCAGGTCAACCTTGGCACTTCTGTTGAGCACTTGTTCAATATGTAAACTAAAGCTCAAATTCCAGCAAAAATAGTGAGTTTAAGTATTGAATCTGGTACTGCTCATGAGTCATAACTTCCGGCTTTGAATAACATATGGATACCCTTTTCCAAGTATTTTAAGAAATTTTATTCTTTTTGCTTCTCTTTCTCAAAGCGGACTCACCAGGTGTACATTTCTCCTCTGGGTCACTCTTCACTTGTAGGTTTAATGCAACTGACTTCTTGGCAAGAATAAGGGGCAAAAAGCTGATGCTGGTTGGAGATTCGATGAACAGAAACCAGTTCGAGTCAATTCTATGTCTCCTCCGTGAGGGCCTGCAAAATAAAAGCAAAATGTATGAAGTTCGTGGCCACAAAATAACAAAGGGAAGAGGTTATTACATCTTCAAATTCGAGGTACAAAAATTAGAATATTTTCTTCTAATAATTCTCTGGGACGTCAATTGATCTTAAAGTGAGAAGTACTGCCATTGTTCATATATAGCTTCAATCTAAAATCTCACTCCAATACAGGACACCTCCCAAGTAGTCATTCCTGGATTTTTACTAACCTTTCGTCTACAATTAGCCTCGGTAAAAACATACTTAATAAAGAAGTTTCTATGTTTTTGCATTAAAAATCAACTTCTGCCTCATTTTGGTTGAAACTGTAGCGCAAACCTTAACACAATACTCCTTACTTGTCTAGTTTTATATCCAAAAACTCGTTAGTTTATTTTCTTCTTTTGCCTTGAAATAGCATTGAATCAAAAAAACATTTATTCCGAATGCCTTTTCTTGGTTGAAATTGTAACACAATCCTCTTAAGAATCACACATCTTGTTCTACTATCATTACAATGAGCAGAAACCGTAAGATTTTCCAAAATTAAAATCGATAAAAACAGTCATTGTTTAGGTAAGCAGCTGCAGCATTTTCGTATTTGTTTTCACATGATTATGTAGGTGTAGGAATTATAGCTGATATAAAAAGTACTCTTTACTGACTACCAAATTGTGAAAACTTGCACAGGACTACAACTGCACGGTGGATTTTGTGAGGTCGCATTTCCTTGTGAGGGAAGGGGTCCGCGTCGATGGCCAGGGAAATTCAAAGCCAACTCTTTCGATAGATCGAATAGACAAGACCTCAGCTCGTTGGAAGAGGGCTGACATTCTAATCTTCAATACAGGCCACTGGTGGGCTCATGGAAAGACTTCTCGTGGGTATGTCTCTGAGCTTCAGTCATTTTATGAGATTTTGGATGATACATTTTCTTGTATTAGCTTGGCACATCAAAATCACTTTCCCAGTTCATTTTCTTTTCATAACGACTTTCATTATTTCCTTTGGCTTGAAGGTAATTAGATCGATGTTAGACTAACAAATCTTTGAATTAACTAGCATACAGCTGAGTTCAGTTTGATGCTCCAAGAAAGAACTCTGTTTTTTGTTATCTTTTTCTTAGAAAATAGTGAATTCTAAAAAGTACATTTAACATATTACTTGCTATAGGAAAAACTACTTTAGAGAGGGAGATTATGTCTATCCACAATTCGACTCCATCGAGGCATATAGAAGATCTTTGAAAACTTGGGCAAATTGGATTGACAAAAACGTGAATCCGGCGAAGCAGTTGGTCTTTTATCGGGGATACTCTACCGCTCATTTCCGGTATATTTTCTCATCTAACTTCCATATTTTAGCCTTGATTGTTTCATCTTTGCTCAATTTTCATCAAACATGTGACAAAAAAGAGAAAATGCTTGAGAGAAATTGCTCTAAGGAATAAGCTATTGCATTCATTCCCACATTGTCTCTGTTTAAGAGCTCTTAAATCCATGGGAAAAGCTATATCTAGCTCAATGGGGCAGTAGCCCAGCTGAAATTTAAAATTTTTAGTTTTTATAGATAAAATTTCTGTAGAATTTCAATTGTCCCTCGGTTAAAAAAACTATTACAATTGAACCTGACAAAAACTTGTAACTACGTTTCCACTCGATTAAAAATAGTAGTTTATATTTTTCATATTGCGTCTGGACTGAGAAAATTTTCTGGCTAAATCCTTAATGCAGAGGTGGAGATTGGGATTCAGGGGGCTCTTGTAACGGCGAAACAAAACCCGCCTTTATTGGGGCCATCCTTGATAATTATCCTTTGAAAATGAAGATAGTAGAGGAAACAATACGGGATATGCGGGTTCCGGTGAAACTATTGAATGTGACGAGGTTGACCAATTTCCGCAAGGATGGCCATCCGTCAATCTATGGAAGGAACTCAACCGCTGGGAAAAAGGTCTCGAAAAGGCGGCAAGACTGCAGCCATTGGTGCCTCCCCGGGTTCCTGATGCATGGAATGAAGTTATTTATGCCACTTTGGTTTTTCACCAAACAAATTCAGTAAGAAATTCTCGATAAACTTTTCATTTTTTTTTGTCAGTAACAAATATAAATTATTGTCAAAAAGATAGGATTCATGAATTTAATTTCGTATATGAGCAAAGAAGCATGTGACTCTGTTCATGTGTAAGCCATGTATCTTTTTGTATTCCTGGCATATAAATAGTCAATATTAGGTCACCTAAATAGTCAAATTGCTCTTAACTTTTCCCCTTTTCAGGAAAAAACTCAAGTTATATTGTCATATACTTGTAGCCATATAGATTTTATCCTTTTTTCCTCTCTTTAAGGAGTGGTTAGAGTGTAAAGTTTTGGTTAGTTTCTCTCTTGACGGTTGAGTCTTTTACTTGAAACTAGTTAAAAGCACGAGCCTCGTGCGTGCGTTCCTTATATATTTTGGATAAGGAAATTCAAAAGTTCTCATAAAATTTAGTTTTATCTATTTATTATTCTCCTAGCAGTTCAGTTTAATTAGAAAAGGAAATTAATATATGTATATATGTAAAGACAGTTAGATACAGACACGTGGAGAAGGCTTGGGGAAAAGAAGTTTTAACTCTTTTAGGTATGTTAAGATTAAGATTAAAATGAAGGTAAAATTACGATAAGATATACATGATCAAATTTGTTTCAATAGAAGCAAAACAGGAAAAAGAAGTATTTAAACAAAAATACATGGTAAAAAAAAATTAATCGTAAAAATGTATTTGCTTGAATCAAAAGAAGTGAGAAAGAAAAATTAGTAAAAGCAAAAAACAAAAAGGAAAAAGGAAAAAGTTAAAAACAAAGAGGAAAAAAATGGAGAAGTTGACACTTGGCGAAACAAGGAGCATGGAGAAAAAGCTCTTTTCTTAAAAAGATGTAAAGATAAAGATTATCTATTTATTATCTCCTAGTAGTTAAGTTTAATTAAAAATAAGAGTTATATATGCATGCATGTATAGACAGATAGATATAAACACGTGGATATGTTTAAGATTAAGGTAAAATTCCGATGATATATATGATCAAATTTATTTCAAAAGAAGCAAAAAGGCGAAAAAAAAAAAAGAGTTTTTAAAAAGTACATGGTAAAAAAAATTACTGCAAAAAAGTATTTGCTGGAAATAAAAAAAGTGGGAAGAACAAAAATTAGTAAAAACAAAAAACAAAAAGGAAAAAGCAAAAAAGTTAAAAACAAAGAAGAAAAAGACGAAGAAGTTGACACTTGCCAAAACAAGGAGCATGGCGCAAAAAGCTCTTTGGCTCTTGGCTCTTTTATGTATGTACATGTTTGCGAAGAGTTAAGGTTATGGTTTGTTCATCATATACTCTCTCTCTCCATGATAGAATAAAAAATACACATGTATGGTAATTGCGATCGCCACCAACAATATCATGATAACTCAACGATGGCAATCTACTAACTGTTGTAGCGCTGGTGGACCAATTGTAGTGCTCTGTATATACCATTGTTGACTTGTGGTAATATTGTTGGTGACAATTGTAATTGCTACACAGGTATACTTTATATGGAAATTTAATTTATTTTTTTTATAGTGGATTGAGGAAAAAGAAAATGTCTTGATTTGAGTTAAATCTGAATTAGAATTTAAGTTGTAATTTGAGTTTGTGTTTAGATGTGCATACTAAATCAGTACTCTCAAGATGGAGTTCCAGCGGCCAAGAAATAGATCTCCATAACATAGAACGGGACATCAATGACAATAACAATCATGTGGGTCAACCATTGTGTCGCATTAGAAATCCCCGAAAAAAGATGGTCTTGTTAAGAGATTAGAAGGCGACCGAAATGTGGATAGTTTACCAAAATCGCCATTCGCTTTAATATGTTCTATTGTATTGTATTTTTGTATGAAAACACATTATTATTACCTATTTGTATTATATTTTTTTATTATTACTATATTTCCTTTTTTTATTTAACTATAAATTATTTTCCCTTAAATCAAATTTATTTTTAAAATTAAAGAAAATGTTAAACAAAAAAAATTATATACCATTCATTTCTTATTATTTACAATTCAAGTTATGTTTTATCTGGATGCAAACTCAAATTAGATTTCTAATTCAGACTTAAACTCAAACATACACATCTAAACACTAACTCCAATTATAACAAGTTCTAACGTATGAAAACAAATGTAAGTACGATCATTGTTCTTATACCGGGAGGAGGCGTTGGGAAATTTTTGGACGACATCTCCGTTACAGATGTAAGCACTTGAGTGTTTTGATCAAGCTAAAATATACGTGAACTTCGTGTCGAGAGAGCACACACCCAACACATTTTGAGAGTAGAAATCCTTCATATTTATCTATGCTTTGCAATTGCTGGGTGGTGGAACACAAGAGATGTAAGTCGCATCAAGAGCTCTAAGACAATTTTGTAAACATGTAAGAGACAATACAAATTAGCATGAGATCTCGGATTGGGATCAATATGTTACACATCCATCCTTAAGAGTTTAGTCACTTGTAATGAATTATCTGAAACCGTGGTAAGTACTTGTTTACATTTGCCGCTATGAATGCATCCACATTGTTGAAATCCGGGCGACGAATGAAGTCAAATCGGAGGCGATAAATCGCCTCTAACACGACTTTGAAGTACTTCGAAATAGTAGCCCCATAATGCTGCCTTTTGTCTTGTAACTCTCTGTTGCTCTGGCTTTGGCACACAGTGTATAGGAAAATAAAAAGTTATTCGTCCACATTCATATTCCTAATGGGTGTCAATAATCCTTTAAACTCAAGCAACGAACTGAGACGTAACATTCACCTTCCATCCCAATTTTCTTGTAAATTACTTCTTCGTATCCATCAAGCAAGTACTCGTCACGCATAATACCTGTTAAAGAAGAAGTATGCTTACGCTGAGGGGGTGGTCTATCCATGTATGTATAGTGCTAGTATAGCACAGTAGCGACGACAGCGATCTCATAATCATCGTCGAAGTCGTTCTTGAACGTATTACTTTGCCACGCATTTGATGGACCTCTGTTCCACATAATGTCATGCGAAAAATATAACATTCATTCTTCATATAATTATACTGAATGGTATAAAACTGGATACATATATTTCATCAAGGCATAATTGAGTACACCATTCCAACAACAAAAAAATACATCATCAACTCATAACATGGTACACCATTTGGTCAAGAGAGAAATTAATACAAGTGGAAATCATATTTGATAGCATTGCTTGAAAACAAATAAATACGTCCAATTACAGTCCTTAATAGGAAAATAGGATCTTTAAAGCAATTATTGTCAATAACGAAACAACAATTTAAAGCATAGTTCAAACATGAGCATACATAACCTCAATCTCCTAACCGACTTCAACTAAACAAAGAAAAGAGAAAAACTAAATATGTAATAATGAGGGTTTTAAAATACACAATCAATGCTGGTCATCACTTCCATCTCCACCATAAGCCCTTGTGGTAACTGAAAAATTAGCGCACTGTGTAATTCAGAGGTTGTGGTTGGAAGTTGTGAGTTTGGAGGGTGAGGTTTTAGGACATGTTGCTAGAAGTTTGGTGCTTGTTGAGGAAAAGTCGGGACTTGTTGTTCGCCAAAGTTAGGCAGCCTGGCCAAAGAAAGGTGAATGTTGCTGGTAGTTTGTGACTGGAGATATAAAATTCGGTAAGCGATGATCCATAAAGGGTGAAGGCATGACCGGTTTTGGTATTGAGTGTGGAGGGGTTGTTTAATTAGTTTTTTTAAGTTAACCGTCTTCATCACAAAACACCTCTTTGACTTTCTGTCATGTCGAGGAACAAGTGCTGCAAGTGGGGAAACCAACTAATCGACTCCAAGAATGTGACTGCCTTTTCATTATCAATTTCCATTTGCTTCATAGTGGTCTGACGCTGCCGCATCACAGAAGTATTTGGCTGAGCTGATTCGTACCAAAACTAGTTCCACGCCTACTTTCTTGGCTTTCTAGAGTACTAAGGCGTCCTATAAGTGCGTTAGCCTCTGGATCACCGGTCTACCTTTGGCCACTGCGTGCCACTTTCTTTCCCATTGCCTTGGATGACAAGGCAATGTTTAAATCACGGCTTGCGGTGTTTAAACCCGCCCTTATAGTATTCACAAAGCCGTCATTGCTGCCTAATGACTCTGATGTAGCACCGCCTTTCTTTGGCCAACTGCTTCCCCAACAGCCGCCTAATTTTGGCCAACAATAAGTCCTGACTTTTTCTCATCAAGCATTAAACTTCCAACAACAACCCCAAACATTCCAAAACATGTCCCAGAACCTCACCCCCCAAACTCCGAACTTCCAACCACAACTTCCGTATTGCATGTGCGCTAATTTTCCACCTACAATAGAGGCTTATTGTGGAGATGGAAGTGACGACCAACTTTGGTGGTGTATTTGTCATGACCAGAAAATTTATTAAAATTATTGTATAGGATAAAATTTCCTGAAATTTTTTGTATTATTAATATGAATACTTTTATGATAAGTATTTTTTGATATAAATATGGAATAACAAATTATAAGTTAAAGCTCAGAAATTTATGATGTGTGATGCAGTTACTGATTTTCAGACTATATTTAAGAATGGGGCACGGAATGCTATGTTAAACCCACAAGTGGGAAACACATGAGTGTTAAGTTTAAGAAATGGAAAAAATTGAAAAACATCAATTCTAGGGTTTTAGAAACAATCAAAACGAAAAACGGACGAAAAAGAGATCCGGATGGCCAAATCAAGAAAATTGAGGTTTTAGACCGAATAGGGTTGACCAAGTCAAAATTTATTATCTAAGAGTTGATCGATAAGCACTCTTGAAAGGATAGATAAGGTTGAACAAAGTTGACTTAGTTGACCAACTGTATGAAAAATGCGGGTAAAACGCGTACCATATAGGAATTAAACTGAATCGAAATAAAATAGTTATTAGAAATGGATGGTTGAGATTTAAAGTGAAGAATTGGATGAAGGGCTGAGATTGAGACATGTGAAAGCAAGGTGGCCGGCCTAGCTTAGTGAAAATGAAAGAAAAGATATTTTTGGTGAAATTTTGCAAAAATGTCTCTCAAAAGTGCCAAAATTACATTTTAGTCCTCCCACTTTATTAGGTCCGGTTTTTAAGAGATAAAAATACCACCAAATGTCCATTTTTCATGCTAAGAACAGAGAGAACTCAGCCAAAGAGAGAGGAAGAAAAACAAATTCACCCAAAGTGAGAAAAATGAGTTTTGATCGAAATTAATGAAACTGCACAATTAGTTCGCGTCACTAAAAACTTCTTAACATTCTCTAAGGTAAACTTTGGTTTTGTTTTCACTTTTTTCTACCTTGGCTGCACGTTTAAGTATGGGAAAAAGCATGAATTTTTTTTTTTTTTTTTGCTTGAGATGATGATTAAGCTTGTGGTTGTTAAGGACTTGAAAATCTAGTGATTTAAGGATGAATTCTTGGTTATTGGATTTTTATTTCTAGCAATTCTTGGTATGAAGAATTTTTGTAAAAATATGGATGAAATCCTAGAATCATGATATATATGATGATAAAATTGAATGAGAAAGAATGGGGTTTGTGTTTAAAGGTGGAAACAACAGATAAAACGAGCTAAGGTTAGCTTGGGAAACACGGAAAATTAGGCGGAACTCTGCCGAAATTTAGTGTGAGACTTTGAGTTAAAACCGGTTTTCATAAGGAATAAGAGGATTAAGATGTGAAAAGTAAGTCGATTCAATGATCGGAGATGTATAGAAACCTAAAACGATAAAAATTCTCAGTTTCAGACTAAAACTGAAATCTAGCCTATTGATCCGAAAATTTGAATCCGACGCTGTTTTGGGTTAGAGAACTAAGATAAAAGCTTAGTTTCAAAAGGTTATCAACACAAAGTTGAAAGAAATTTCATTCCGAACAACTTTTGTAAAATAGCATTTTTCTAAAAAATGACCATAGACATCAGTTTAGGACTGATTTTTGAAACATGTCCAAAATGTGATTTAAGGTAAAAGGTCACGGGTTTGGTGCACATTAATGATATAGGTGATTTTTCGGTCCGGATACCGAACATGAAATCGTAGATCTCTTTAAAGATTTTAAAAACGACATACGTACTTTAAGAAAATAACATTTACGAAACCACGAATTCAGATCAAATTGTGTTTCAATTACTGATCTTGGATTGTAAATCTAATGTTCAAAAATTTATATGATAGGACTAATAGGCGATCAAGGAAGCAAGATTTCCGGAGACTTGAAAGCCGTGATGTTAGCAGTGCTCCTGTAAGTACAATAGTTTTTCTATGTCTATACCACGAACAAGACTATTTTTTTGTGTTGCACAAATTTGTGCATAAGATGATTTCACTGTATGTCATTAAGTGAAAGATGTTTCTTGAAACTTGTTTATTGCTTTGAATGTGCTTATGGACTTGTATTAGCAGTAGAATTTTAATTTGCGATAAAGTCAAAGTCAAAGTTAACAAAAGTTACACATTCGAACAAAGTTCAATTTCATTGGAAATTGGTAAGAATGTTTAAAGATGTACCAATATGATTAAAATTATTGTCATAATATGAAATGATGACAATAAGATGAAGAGATTAAAATTACTGTCATAATATGAAATTATGATAGTAAGATGATGAGTAAATAAAGATGGCAAATGATAAGAAGTTAATAATATTGTTTGTACCGCCCTTCGCAAGGAAAGATTATTATGATTATGAATGAAATCATGTGTGAGATAGTTTTGGTTAGCTACCCCACTCCTCACTAATTATGCGCGCAACAGTACAACGAGATGGGGCCCATAACAAGTAAAAGCTATGAAAAATGAACGACACAAGAACGAAAGATGTCAAGAAATATGAAACGAAAGAAAAGAGAGCATAATACGAAAGGTAAGAAAGCATAATATGATGAACACTTTGAATGTTTAGGAAGCATGTTAGGACGTATGATATGAATGCATATATGGGTGTGCATTATTATTTGCATTTATTATGGCCTACTGTTACTTACCGAGCGAAAGCTCATTAGGTTTGTTCGTGTTGTAGGAAGCACGAGTAAGACACCGGCACCCTAAACCTGTTTGTTGGGCGTGTGGAAAAGGATGAAGCAGTGACATGTGGGCAAGTGGGTAGTGAATACATCACATTTTTTAAAAATGCTGCTAAGCCTTATGTGTATAAAGTAAATATTGTTTTAGGAAGGTAGACGAGTTATGTAATGAAAGTAAAGTATATGAGAGAATGAGGCTATATATGCATAGCAACCTTAAGTCCCAAGGTATGCATAATGTATCTAAAATATTATAACATTAATGGCATGCATAGCAAAAATGTTAATGCCTTAAGAGCATATGAATGGTAATGACATGCGAATGTTAGGTTAAATACATGACTACGAGTAAGGAGAACAAGTTCAAGGTTTTAAAAGAAAAGTTGAAATTGTTTTCAAGATAGTAATTTATGATATTCGAGTTTTATAAAAATCACTGAACGATGTTTTATTCCGCTAAATGTTATTAGAATCAATTTTACTATTGAAGAAAAAAAAATTAGTCTGAATTTTTAAGAGGTTATAATTAAAAAGTAGTAAAAGATAGGAAATGCTAAGTATGAATTTAGAATAGATGACTGAAAGTTAAGGGTCGTCACAGTATTTTAAAAACCTTGTTATTTTTATTTTTTTTTTCTTTTCTTCATCTTGTTGAATTCGGCTAGGCGATGGAGGTTATGTATGTTCATGTTTGAACTATGCTTTAATTTGTTGTTTCATTATTAACAATTGCTTTCAAGGTCTTATTTTTCAATGAGTAATGCTAAAGAGACCAACTCAAACCTTAACTTTTGTGTACCAACTAATGTGACATGTGAGTTGTTATCATTTTATTGTTTGCATCTCTTATCATGAGTTGTTCAATTACATGAATTCGTCCCTTAGGAATTGTATTGAGCACACTTTCGGAGTATGGAAAGCTAGGTTTCGTATTCTCAAATGGATAAATAATTAGCCAATGGAGAAACAAGTAAAAATACTGATTTCTTGTGTTGTACTTCATAACTTCATCCACATGTATCACTATGGTGACCCTATACCAAACAAATACTTTAGGGATGGAGAATGGGTGACTAAAATCAATCCCTAGAATGCGGAATAGGATGTTAATCAGAGTTATAATCTTGATAGGGCAACACAGGAAAATCAGAACCTAATCGTAGACAAATGGGTGTTTTAAGGGAAGAGATGGCGAGTAGCATGTGGCCTGCATTAAGACATTTTACCGTGTTTTGTTATTTCTAATAGCATATATGACAGGTTTTCTTATGTAGTAACATGGGAAAATTTTTGTTCAATGGTTTTTATGAAAATATACGTTGCAGATTAGTTAAGCAGATTTTTTTAATATAATTTTATCTCAAACTTTTGATACTAAGAGTTAGCACCAAACACAAAATTCAAGTAAAATGTCAAATTACATACCCTTCCAAACACTTATTTCAAATTCTAATTAAATAACAACTCAAATCCATTTCTTTTTTCAAATTCGCAAATTGGAGCTAATGAACCAAACACGACCTATATAGGTTGACTTGGTAATATGCTAAAATTATTGTCTATATATCCTTTCTAGAACATCATGATAATATGTAGAAATCAAACCATATTTTGGAGATAGCTGTGGTCAAAAATTCCAAAATTAATGTTTTTAGCCTGTAAATTAAACGTCACTTATCACAGTATTTTATTTTTCCATGGAGTGAAATCAAATAACTTGTCTAAAATGGTGTCTAATCTATCAGATTGTGTCACATTATATAAAAGATTTGAAATATTTTTTAACTAATTTTCCTCATTTTGATATTTAGGTCTATTAAATGACATATTTTACTATAATATATCAACAAACATAGTGTTGTAATGCTCCGGATTTTTGTTCGTCAAGAAAGACATGTCTAATAGGCCGAATTCTAGATTTGTTGATCAGTCATGATTTTCAATAACAAGCGTTGAACTCTTTTTTTCTTGTTAGGTTTCTCCCTTTTGGGTTTTACTAACCTTAATGAGGTTTATTTACTGAACTGATTATCGAAGAAAAAGTCTTGGCTTTTACTTTATGTCTGTCAGTTTCTTGCTTTTGTTGTTGTTAGTCTTTTTTTTTTCTTTTTTTTTTCTTTTTTTTTTCGGGGATTGCATTCTCTGTTGTTTTTGTCTTTTCGCTACTACCCTTTTAGTTCATTACTTTTTCTCGTAATTTTCTTTTCTATTATTAGAGGTTTGGTAAGAGATTTTTTAAGGTGCCAACCTACTTGAAATGTTATATAATTCTTAATATCTCTTATTTGACCTGTTCATTCAAATAAAATGCTGTAACACAATTAGTTAGACACTAAAAATTAGACAAGTGATTTGAGTCTACATTTTACTTTATCATATACAGAAGAAGCTGAAGATTATTTGGTCATAAAAGGTTGGTTTAAATTTAGTAGTTAATTCTAAGATTAACTGATTTTGAAAGTATTATACTCTATTAACTTTTGGTTATGATCACCCATATAATACATTAAATACTACATATTGAACGTATTTATGAAAATTAATTGCTTCTAGAATCTATAAAATGACCAAGAGTATTACAAAGTCCAAATGGTAAATTAAGCAAATATTCAAAGAGCTCACATACTAAGGCATTATGCAAAGGGACACGAGAGATGTATTATTGGACGAAAGGGTCTTAGGCTAATGTGAAGACCATATATGTCAAAAATTAATAGATTATTGGATGTAGTTCCAATCATGGATAATTTCATTAGGACAAAAGTCAAAAAAACAAATTTTACTCTACCTCATAGTTTTCTCATGGTACTTTTGAGCGTTGCTTTCACAACCAAGCAGTTCAGGAAGATATATACTAATCCGTTTCCTGGACATACCGAAACTCAATTATTATTTTTTTTTAATACTATATCGGTGCATGCAGTTTTAGATTGTTAATTTTTCATTAAAGCCTGTTAAATTTACACTTTTTGACGTTCTTATATATGATTTTCATAAGATATCTGATTTTCTAAACTTAATGCCAATAAAATACTTTTCTATAACTCCATTGAAACATTCTCCGATTTATTTTCACCATTGTCACAATACTATAACAAAAAACCCTAGTTGACTCAAGAAGCTTCAGTTTGTAATATTGTTCTCTAATTTTTGCTTAATTTCTGGCAATTCGGGCACATAGTAAGCTTTACATTGTTAGCAAACTGAATATCATCTAATTTCCCGTGACATTGTTCAACCCTAATCGATCGAAGCTCCTGCAATTCTTTTCTCAATCTTTTGTTCTCTTGGCCAAGACTCTCACAACATTTCTTCAGTAATTCGCAGTCTTCCTCTGTTTGCTTCATCTTTGTCCTGAATCGCAAAATAGTAATCAGTTAACACGCACAGTTTCATTTAACATTGTTTGTTTTATTTAGTGTGAACTTTATACTAGCCAAAACATATATTCAAACTCATTAAGAGATAGAAAAAGAAAAGAAAAAAAAAAAAAAAACAACAAAGAACAAGAATTTAAATGGAGAAAAAGCTTGTACTACACATATGTGTACTTGAGATTTATTCTAGTTAAAAGTTAAGAAAAAGGAAGCTACTCATATATATATATATATATAAGTCTAATTTATAGTCAAAGGATGAGAAACACATATGTAGTTAATATTTAAAAATGCTTTAGGCCTCTTAGGAGGTGATATGTCTTGTCATCTCTTGACTCTGGGAGCCCAAATAACATAAATTCATCGTTTGCAACAATTAATAAGATTAAATTCTTATCATGCCATGTTATTAAAATTTTATATTTGATGAATAAACATCGTGAAAATATAACTATTGAAAACTGATCCTATATATAATTAGTGTTTATCTGCAGTAAAAATTAAAAAATATCTCCACTGTGTATATATGCATGTATAATGTTATATAGAAATTAAATGTTACCTGGCTCTTCTGTTCTGAAACCAAACTTCTACCTGCCGTGGCTTCAGATTCAATTGCTCAGCCAGTTCCCGTTTCTGGGCCTGCATATTTATATTCCATTACAACTCAATTACTCTCTGGAAGCATTTTATGATCAATAATTAATAATAAAAGATGATAAATAAATTATCAAATATAAAATGAATTAATATTATGTACCGGATTAAGGGTGGTATTGGACTTGAAGCAGCCTTCCAAAAACATGGTTTGCTCTTTGGTAAGCTTCAGTTTCTTTCTACTAATACCACCATTAGTAATATTGTTCTCATTTCTCGTACTCCCACGGTTTCCTACATGATTTTCTTGATCATCATCATGAATAATATTATGATTATTTTTTGGCTTCAAACTCGAATGACCCTCGAAGAGAATACTTCGGTGATCCGTATGATCATGATCATCTTTCGGGAAAACCTCAAACCTGCAAAGATCTAGCCTTAAGCAAACCATAGGCTGTTTGATCTTCTTACCGTGATCGTGATCATGATCATGATCATCTTTCGTCTGCGTCGCAGCGTAGTATTGCTCTCCAACACCGAGACCTAGTTTGCATGCCTCTTCTTCTTTGTTCCCCATGGTTGAGAATGTTTGAGATATATTGCAGAATTGAAGAAGAGAACACAAGTCAAAATATTTGCAAATTAAAGTCTGGCTTGTAATAATAATTTTTAGGAACCGTAAGTTCAAATTATAGTTTCTTGGAAAATAGGAAAGAGACATATATACAGTACTATCCGTCGCGTTAAATTTGCATACTTTTTTAGTTGATATGATTTTAATGTGACCTAAACGTTTAAAATATGATTCCACTAATTCTGCCGGGTCATATTTTGTTTGTCTTTCTATATATATTTATTGTTATACTTTGACCAAAAGAGAGTACAATATGAAAGAGTCAACGAGGCATATAATTGTGACTCCTCGTAGGAAACCAAAAACCTTTTTTTTTTTCTTTTTTTCATACCATTTATTCAATGTTTGAGACTTCTCTGTCTTTGGGCCAATTTATTTCGTGTCGCCCACTTAACCAGCCTCAAATATTTATTTTACTTACTCCTTTGTTAATTTTGAGCCTTTTATTTTTTTTTTTGGGAAAGTTGACCCACACATATGTTTCTTTTCCTGAAGCTTCTCTGATGAACTTTTTTTTAGGGGATAATTTTCGCTTGTGACTCTTGTCTTTTAATTGATTGGTACTCTTTAGTATTTACTCTCGAATTCCAATATATTTATGCATAGAATACGCTTAACGATATCTGGTTAATAATAGTACTATACAGTTGACCTCTCATTTTTGGTATTATTAATATTAACTTGTTTGGTCGTTACATTTTGCAAATTATTTGAATGATGACGATCGAACTTACTTATAGTTCAAAATTTCTTCAAGGATTCTTTTTTGCTGTTTAATATGTTTAATTTAGTGGCCTTAAAGCTACACATTATATGCTCTTGATGGATCAAAAGTTTCTACCGATTACAGTGGTTTTAAAAAGAGTCTTATGCGTGCTTAAATTGATATGTCTAGGTAATTTTCTGATATTGGGTCTCTTGTTGTGTCGTTTCCCTATACTTAATTCATTAGAATTTATTGATGGAATCAGTTTTTATTGAGTGTTTTATATTGTGTATGACAGGCTCATCCACATAATTATTGGTATCTATAAGATATTTTAGTTGAATGAAATTTTACCTAAAAAAAACTTAGCCCTTTCTTTTAAATTTCTCTAATTTGTTAACGTGGTTATAAAGGAGAACAAAGAAAAATGAAAAAAAAAAGGAGAAAGAAAGAGAAAACATTGGATTTGGTTGGTGGATAAATTAGTTTGTCGCTTGGAATTCAAATGAGAATCGAAGTAGATAAAATTGGTCATATTGTACGTGAAGAATACTCTTTTTAAAATTGATGTAGCATTTACATTGTAAGTTTAATATGGTTTTAAGGTCATGAACTTGTGGTTTGGTTCTTGAATATTGTTATAACAAGCGTGGAAGATTCAACCCAAAACGACTGAATTTAAGGCCATAATTAATGACAATTTCTTGGAAACGGACCTAGCTCTTTGACATTGATATCTCTTATTAGTCCTTGTCGCATTGGTATTAATGTATAAAATTATTCCAAGATAGGAAACATAATTCTATGAGTAGTCAACACTTTTGAAATATTCACCGTTCCCACGAAAAAAAAACAAAAACAACAGTCAATGTGCAAAAGCTTTCAATTAAAGAATGAGAGAATGAAATAAATAGCAGATTTCTATAAATAATTGAAGTATGTAATAGATTTTAAAATGATTTAAAAAAAAAGTAACAAATAAAAATTTTACGTGGTAGAAAATCTTTTTACAATGCATAAACAGAAAATTTACGTGGTAAAATAAATTTTCATTGCTATTTATTTCAAATATTTTAAAATCTGTTATTTATTTAATTTAATATCTTAAAAATTTTACTACAATTTCTGTTAAAGGAGAATAGACTATATATAGGTCCATAACCAGAAATCTAATATTTCAAACGAATTGCCTTGTGTAAAAGAAGCTTTAGACGCCATAAGGAAATAAAAGAATCTAGTGGCTGCGTTTCTATTGCGGTTACATATCAAATCTAAAAATTTGATGATGTGATATGATTAGAATTTAACCTCATTAATTACCGTAATTTTTTTGGTCAATTACTTAATTTATTACAACTGTCTGCTTAATATCTTATGGCTAACAATACCTATTAACTCATAACAGTACCTATTAATGAGTAAATAAATATTAGAATAACCATTAAAACTTTACACATTCTACATTGGTTTAACTAAACATAGCTTACGTTTGTGCTTCTTTGTACAGACACCCTCTCAACTTTACGAGTTTAGCAAATTGGTCCCTCAACTTCTAATCTTGGCAATTCCCTCCTAAACTTTGAAATTTGTTGCAATGTTGTCAAATTAAAAAAAAAAGAAGTAAAAAATTCAAATGGTTTCTTCCACGTGAGCGTTTTTAATGAGGCTAATTTTGGGTTTTTTTTTTTTTTTTTTTTTGCATCAAATTAATCCCTGTATGGACATCATGAGTGAAAAATTTTATAAAATTAGGGATTAACCATTTTGAGGGAAAAATTAGAGTTCCCCAATTTCAAGAAGTTTTCACTCGTGATGTGTACATAGGGACCAATTCAATGCTAATAGGCTAGAATTAGCCTCATTAAACGTACTCATGGAAGAAACCGTTCAAATTTTTAACTTCATTTTTACTTTGTCCAACATTGCAATGAGTTTCAAAATTTAAGGGTGAATTGTCAAATTAAAAGTTGAGAGACTAATTTGCAAAACATATAAAATTGAGTGGGTGCTTGTACAAAAAAACCCTTTTGTTTGTTATAGTCGTTGAACTTTTTATTGAATACATAAAAGATTACACAGTTGAGCTCGCTCTCTCTCAATTGAATGTAAATTGTAAACAAGAAAGATGTAAAGATTTGTAAAAGAGCGCTGCCCTTCTCCTATTTACATAAAGGAGACTAGCTCTTCTAGTCTTAAAACTACTCAATGTTGTTAATCCAATGTTCACCGTATTCAAAACCACTATCTATTATATCTCTTACTACTTTGAAATTGTGGGGATTATGTCTAAGTGCTCGGGAGACTCATGCCATTGTGGTTGCGTTGATAGTTATTCCATATATTTTAAACATTGTGGGATTGTGGCTGTGGTGAGACTCCTCAATTATGGGAGTTGGAGAAAAAAGTTAATGTTTGATTCACGGATTCAAAATCATGATTCAGAATTATTCTCGGTTTACATGTGTTTTTTTAGAGAGAAAATACTGTAACGGGCCACGAACCATAATTCGAATCATGACACAAATCCTCATACCAAACATAATTGGATCATATCAAGCTGGTATATATTATGTAATCTAAGGTAGCTATGCGACTCAAGAGACTCAAGGTCGCAACTTAACTACCTGTGTTTACTTGTCATTGTTCTAGAGTCCTTATCGATAATCTCATGCTCTTCTTGGTGATCTCAAGTCGTCATTGTTTGACTTCTAGCTACTTCACATGTTTTATGAAGTTATGAGAGCGCGATCATTTTGGAGGTTATCGGAGATGACGACATAATATTGAGATAAGGTTGCCCTAGCTATAAGGTTGTGGGGATGCTTGCTTAGCGAGCATCCTATTTTCGTTTAGCCAATGGTATCTAAGAAAAACAAAAACAAAAAAACCACCCAAACCGACCGCAAACAACCCTACTTTCAGTTTCAGGCATGATGATTGCTCATATAATCAACGAGGAGCTTTTGAGGAATTTACTCATGGGAGACTTTAAGGCAGGAGAGCCATTGAGGTAAGAGAGTCTTTGAGGCCTTAGGGCCTTTGAAGAATTCGAGGGCTGCTCACGGATTTAGCAGCCTTGGAGGCATGAGGGCCTTTAAGGCTGGGCCTTTGAAGCATGCATGCGTCTAAGGCGTGAGGATGCTTAGCTTACCATTAATCAGTTAAAGACAAAAAAAAAAAAAAAAAAAAAAAAAAAAAAAAAAAAAAAAAACCTTAAGCTCTTAGCTTTCATTTTAATGATAGTCATTAAAAGGCCAAAAAAAAAAAAAAAAGGTACTCTGAAAGCTCTTAACTTCCATTTTGATGATGTAGAGGGTTGACTCTGTTTGACTCATAAAAATTAAGATAAAATATTGCACCTACCTGATCATTTTATATGTATTTGCAAAATTTTATTGGATATTTCTAATATTAGATAGGACTTAAATTGAGATTCTTGCTCACTTGCCATCCACTGGCAAAGAGAAAGCTTTGCATGGCACTTTGGCAAGTTTCATGGATATCATATCGTCGATGTTATATGGCTAGTGCAGTATCGTTGGAAATACCTTATAAACCTTAATTGATTAAAGCGTTGAATAGCCATATATTCTAGCTATTTAAAATCCCATGCACGGCAAGTTTTGGAATATTGTCATTTGCTTCTGGCTTAGCTTTCTTTATATAACTTCTGTTTGCAAGCCTTTTGTTACTGTAAGTTTTGTTCATTAATATTTGTTCAGAGAATTTTTTATTTTTTATTTTTTATTTTTTTTTGCGTACGATTCTTTTATTCAATAAGGATTTTTGTAGTTTCGGAGGATCAATATTTATTTTTTTAAATTGCATTGGGAGTGTAAAAATGTAGAAAACGTTCATCAATTTTGTTGTGCCCTTCATTATTTCCTTCTCTTGCTAAAGGTTCAAAGTCTATAAATATAATTGTCCTTATAGGCAGTGCACAACATGCTTTGACCTTGCTTCCGCCTTTTCTAGCCTCCATTATTTCGAATTTTCCCAATATATATATATATATATATATCTATATATTTGTTTGTTCATTATATATGAACAAGCATATGAAACCTTCCACTCTTTTCAGTCTCTGGTTTTGGCTTTTCCCTCTTTAGTTTGTCCTATTTTAAAAGTTGTTTGACTTTCCTTTCAACTGATCAGTTGGTCAATCAACTTTTGGTCCTAACAATTTGGGGACAACATTAATCCAAACACAAAAGATCTTCAGTAGGAAACAAGAAAG